AAGAGATAGGAAGTCGGAGAAATCTAATGAGGCAAACTTCTCAGCAGAGCAACTTGGCAAATGTTGCCAGTGTTGGTGTATGACCTTCCCACACGCCCAGCTGAATTTGCAGCAAACTTGCCGAATTGAGACATCTAACCTTAATGGCCTTTCCGTTTTCGTCATGGGATGATTAGTGGTAAGGGAAAACAAACGTCGCCTCGCATAGCCTGGATATTTCATCCCGCTCAATAGAGCTGAGGATACGAATTCGCAGGATTCGAATAGATTGCAATGGGCTCGAATCTGGCGCATTGCGAATTCTTGAATCTTGGAGTCTTGATAACGTGGATGTGTATGCCAGCCATCAGTTCTCGGATCATCAAACTGCCGTCGAATGTTGTAAGCCATTATTTGAATATGAAAACAAGTACCTTAAAGTATGCTTCGTGTTAAAACTATTGAAATGGCGCAGATATTCTGGTATGTGCCTTTCTCACATCGGACTGAGCCGCGTTGTATTTATGTTTTTGTTATTGCCGCGGACAGCTACCGCGGGTACTGGTCTCATTCTGCCGGCACTATATTTCGCTTGTTTACTGTGGAAGTGAAAGTAAACAGCTTTTGAAGCAACTCAAGAAGTTATACGGCGCCGCCACAGATTGTTTGCAGGGGCAGGGGTTGGGACACGGACAGATGCGCTAGAATTCTTTCTCTGACAGGGGGACATTCTCCATCTCGGTGAGACTCCTCGAGCGAAGTTAGTTCGCCACCCGTAGAAATGCATATCAACTCGATCACTTTGCTAGATTTTTAAGTTGATGACGTTGATCACCATTGCGGAAATGTAAGGTACCATCAAAGTAGCGACTACCAAAAAATAGTGCAACAGGAGGCATTCTAATGCCCATGCTTTGTTTAGATTCTTGCTCTCAGAGACCCCCTATGTTTTTCTACGATCGCTGCAATTGTGAGCACCTAAGCTTGCGTAATTTATGGACTATTATCTACAAATTAAGCTCCTTACTTTGACAGCTCAGAACATATAATCTCTTTCTCAATGTTTTGTCGATGACATTTTGCAAATTAGTTCTTGTCACTTCTTTTTTCTCACCAAAAATGCACCCCAGAAAAATCGTTTTCCGGACCCCTCCTCTCCTCTGTATCAATTTGAAGGGTTTTCTAGCGTCCTGGTGGCTTGTAGGGTGAAATCATCCGAGATCGAGCAAGGTCAAATTTGACAACTGTGGCCATATTTGACCGTCTGAAATGCCACGATTTAAATATTCATTGCACGTACCTGACCGCTTTGAAAGACTTGCTTAACCCTGTTCTCTTCATTAATTTAAGTTGTTTAGTTCTCGATATAGACGATTAGAACAATACAATAATTGCCGTCACCCCACTCACCTGGCATGACAGCTCACAGATCGCATATGTCGAAGTTCCCTGACGTCCATCTGACAAAGCTTTTGGCACCGGTATATATTATCGTCTTTTCCAACGTCATAGCATGTACTTTTCTTAAAATAACAGGAAGGGTATATTAGGTCCAAATTTCGACTCTTTCCGACCTACCGAAGGCTACCTTAGCAAAATTCAGACGAGCTCACATGTGTGGTCTGACTAAAGTTTCTCATTGCTGTTTTCTGAATAGCTCCAGCTTGCCCAATTTGTGAGATCTTATTTTTTGGCTCCCCAGAAAGGCGAATGTAAAAAACTCACATAGTAGGAAACCTTTAATCCACTTAAAGTGAACCTTCCGGATTTTAAGATATTGAAGCAAGCATGGAATATAAAGAACTTAAACTCGCTGATAACTTTGGTATACTTTTAAGTGCAAAAACAGCTCTAGACAGCACAGTGAGCCTATCAAGTAAATTTGTTCCATATTAGGTCACTGTTTATTGTGTCATAGGACGTTTGTATGCCATTAAGGCACTGCCAAACTAACCGTGCAAAATCTTCGCTTCCTGTAGCACTTTAAGCTCGTGAAGACATGGTAGCTCGGGCTGACGGCGTCCGCTCAGCCAAATATCGTCATGTGCTCGTGTTCTGGCCATTTATCGTGGTATTTTTACACCTTAATCCGTGATCTAAGCATGTTTAGTTTATTCACATGCTCGGCTATGGCGTCATTCTTAAGCTGTTTGATTACAAGCATTGGTTCCGCAATAACTAGCAAGTGCAGAATTCATGCCCAACCTGTTATATTATGTGGATCAAAATATGTTTCATGACTGTAGCCTTCACAGCTTGCCCAACAATGCCTGTGAGCCAGTTGACGGGCACTATATTTGGAAATGACGTTCACGGACGTCAGACCTGAACAGCTGAACAGCAATATCTTTCCTGACCCTGAACGCCGCCTGGCCTGTGGGGTGCCGGGATTAGAAAGGCGTCGCAATGGCGCTACGCATGTCTGAATGGATTTGGAATAGTCTGTACGAACTAAGCTGCAAATTGAAGCTAAAAAACCAGAGGGGCTATGTCTTAAGAAGGTCATGGCTGTGAACTGCGCGGATTGATCTTCAAAATGGCTATGTCAGCTGCAAATCACATACAATTGTGGAACGCTTCCTGTAATGTCCATGTTTGAAAAACAATATCAGCACTTTCCTTGTGAGTGATGACTTTATCCTGCCGTCTGAAATGAATCGTTATTTCGTCTTAGTTTTATTACAACACTGCGCGCAAGTGAGCGAAACGGCGCAGTTGAACGTTAGAACGGTGCAAGTCGCTTGCTTCGCCATACTTTTCCCCACATACCTCATACAAACTTTGTCATCCACATCTTCTGGCACAAAAATCACTCAGCATTGCTTTGGCCGAATTGGAATTGAGCCACTGGCAGAAACGTTCAGAGCAGCCAGCCTGAAATCAATGAGGTCAGTTTAACAGTGGGAGTTACATGACGGTAGGGATTTGGAACTTCTGTGCAAAGAATTTAGTTTTATTTACTCTTTTGGCGTCGTAACTGCAAATTCAAAGCCAAATATGGCCATGATAGGCTCAAGTGTTTGGATCTGGAACTTGAATCAGGATCCGACTTCGAATCGAAAAAAAAACGAAGTGTCTAAGCCCAAATTGCAGCAAATCCTCAGCTCATCACTCCATTCCGCTAATTCCAAACCTGGTGATACCACTTATATCTTGCATGTCAACTGTCGTGATATGCTATCTGTTAAACGCGAGAGGCTGAGATACTACTTCTATGGCGCTCAGTGTAACTAGAAAACCAATTGGGGCCCGCACGTAACAAAAATATAGTTGATAAAGCAAAAGGTTTAAACATATAGTTCCATCTTAATGGGACATACGAGCTTAGTTGGTTTCCCCATCCACGGCAGTCTGAAGTGTGTGACCTGATGGTCACGTTGTCCGTCAAGCCTTCTTGAAAAGGTCGTTGTAATGGACAAACCTTTAAGGACAGCTCAGTCGGGCAGTGTTTCCGGTGTCGTTCGGGCAGGAGAAGGGGGATTCGAGTTCCCCTGGCCGCAGTCCCAGCCTGCTGCACTTTAAAGGTGGACATGGGCCGGTTCTGTCCACATGATCGGCGCCTCATGCCTTTTCCCGGCGAACCGTCAGGCTTATAGCACGATCTAGGTGATCGGCAAGCCCCAATGGGGCACCATGATCGAGTGGTTAGGGGGGGGGGGGCCTCTGGTTGGAATCCCGGTTGCGCCGTGACCCCTGAGCGCTGATAAGCTCAATGTAGTGACTGGCGCTCCATAAAGAGTGACGACATAGGTCGCTTTCCTTTTTTCCGAAATGGGCGCTTTAGATAAGGTCTCCACAGGGCCCACATATCCCATCTGGCGAGCTGCAGAACCAATGTGCGTCAGGGGTGACCTTCACTGGGACTGGGCGCCGTGCGTCATACGGCGGGCGAGACCCTCGACCCGTCCCTGTCTGACGATCAATGGGCGTGGACAGTGAATGGGGCACCAGTCGGCCGCTGTTTGGACAGACAACCCCGCCAGTGGGCCGGGGTAATGTGCGGAGTGGACCACGCCGCCGGCCACTGCCAAGCCATTAGCGGATCTGTCCGCCCCCAGCCCCTCCCCCCCCCCGTAGCGTCCGCGCGCGCTAGCGCCCACCGCCGCCTCCCAGGCAGTAGCTCGGCATCTGTTGAAGTTTGTTGTAGTTACCAAAAGTCTCTCAGCCTGTCGGAGAATTCTTGCCGTGTCTGCCGCCGTCTGGCTGCGCTCGCCTCCGTTGGTCGGCGCCTGAACCCGCATCTGGCGGTCACCGGCTCCTCCTGCCGCCACCTGTATGAGTCCGTTCGAGCTTGGCTAAACTAGTCTGTCGCACGAACGCGTAGCATCAGGCGGCTGGAATGGACGAACCAACGTTAGCTGACCAGATCTTTGAAACCATTCTCTCCGGATGTAAGCAGTTAGCGTGGGACCACCGCCACTAAGATAAATGCTTACTGTGTTTTCTGCCCGTCTAGCTGCAGTATTGATGGGGCCTGTGTCTTATGTGGCGGGGAGAGATGCTATTGTTTTTCTGTTGCTGCGAAAGGAAAGGCGAGTTTCTGCTCTGGCTCTAGCAATATGCTACTGATAGCTCCCTCCTTTGAAGTACAACGCATTGGAATGACATCATCATTGTAGTCTTTTCAGCTCGTCACTATTTTCCGAAGTGCTGTAAATGACTGCATGTGCCTCCTAGAAGTTGGAGCCTACTGCATTTGCTGATGTGGTGTATGTTTTTTGCAGATGCTGCAAAACTAGTTGGTGGAGATCAAGCCTGCTCTGGCTGGCTTCATCCTCTCACATGAAGTATGTACATCGCCCTTCACGCCGTCATGGAAATTAAATAGTTGATCAGATTATTCGTGCTGGTCCACGTTATTTCTTGCTACGTCCATGAGTATTGTGGCTATCATTCAACAGCTGACAGTCATCCTTGGTGGGACGCAGTTTACTTGTCTTGCCATGGGCGCAAATGACCAATGCAATCGATGCGCCCATTGGGCTTTAAGCCCAATCCCTTACCAACTAATTTAACATTTAAAGTTTTGAGAGCGTGCCATTCCAAAAGTGCTAGAGGGGAGCACGGAAAACAAATGCAAATGGGACATTATTGCACTTCAAAAGCTGTGTTATATTCCTGGAAGAGAGCAACCATTTTTCAAGTGTAAATACGCTTATTGCGTGACACTTCTAAATGTGTGCCCACCCGTAGCTGCCACTTCACGCCTGTGTGTGTGCCAGAAATTAGGTTTAAGTCATTCAATGATCTTTTCAATCAATGACCTCTGTATTGCCATGTTTGTTTCAATTATTTGAGTACGTATTTTTTCAATCAACGAATTAATCAATAAAAATAGTTTTGCATTGTTGTTTTATCAGGCTTGTACGAGCACAATTAAAGCAAGCACACTTGCTCTATCAAAGGTTTTTCTGGTGCGCCAAACACCTGCTCATATGGCATTGAGATTTTGAGATTCTACATTGCATTGCACCCCTGCTTGAGAGTCATCTGTCTCACCTTCCGTGGTTTCCACTTCATTGTTATGTTAATTTATGAGTTCAGCTGTGTTTCGGGCTTTAACGCACGGGCAGAATTGGTCTATCTTTATTTCAAACACCAGAACGGAGCACGACCTAATGAAAAATGTTTCCGGCCTTTGAAAACAGGCGTGTCTTCAACGGGATTATGCAGCGATGAGAACAAACGATGTGCATTTCAGAAGCCTATGGAGAAGAATTGGGAAGAAGAGTTTGCGTCTTGCTAAGCGAAATGGCTCAGTGGAGGACTGCTACAACACCTCGTCACTCTGCCACGTAGACGCTGGTCAGCCAGCCTCGGACCAGGTGAGGCCAGCTCTTTGTCGTAAATGTAAGGATTAACAAGTGTCGAAATAGCACGGTGAGGCCGCTCGCTGCATCATTACATAATGCACCACTATATTTATTTTGTACTTTAGAAATGGGGCGAACGTGCCATCCGCGTTGATCATAATAGCATGAAGGAGTTGCGCTCCCTCAATATTGTGACCTTGCTGTTTCGAGTTTCGATTTTTACACTTAATTGTTACGTGTTATCTCGACAAAAATACTCAGGAATGTTTGCCTTCCATCTATCTCTCCTTACGCTCAAGGACGTCACTTTGTATACTTTTGCCATTGGGTGAGGGAGCTTAGCCCCTCCCCCAATGCTGACTTGCCCCCCCCCCCCCCCCCCCAAGTGGCGCGCCACTGACACCCGCAGTAAAGCTGGGTTGCGCTGTCGACGCCTTCGTCCTCTAGCGACACAATGAAGACGTAACGACATTCCTAGACCGTATCAACATCTTGCGTCCATCCATCCAGTTCACTGTGGAATGCAACAACAGTAGCCTGCTGGCCGTTCCTGAATATGCAAGTCGAGAGAACCACCCGTAGGTCCAGGACATCGGTGTGCCGGAAACCAACAGCAACGGGTTGCCGCCTAAACTTCCGGTCGCATCACCCGGAGACAGCCAAGAAATGTGTCGTCAGATACCTTCAGCATCTCACAAACACCATTAGTAGTGAAGACGCAGCCTAGGAGGAAGGAAATCAACCACCTAACCGAGGTGTTCGGCAGAAATGGATGCCCGAAAGGGTTCATAGACCGCAAGCCCAAAGAGCATGCTCAACAGGCAGGGCAGCCAAAGGAAAAAATAACAGGGAAAGGATCATTGCCTTACAACAAGGACTTTTCAGGTGGGATCAGAATAATCTGCGAACGACACAACATCAGGATAGTCTTTAGAAGCAGCGGGGGGCTCTGCAGAGTACTTGCCAAAGTCAGATCACCGTCACCTAAGGAGAACACGAAGAACTGCAAATACGACATTCCATGTAGGTGTGGCAGGTTCACGAAGAAGAGACAAGTCACCCTCTGTCGGTCAGACTTGAAGAGTACAGAGAGGCAACCATCCGGAGTGAGACTCTGAAGTCTGGTGTGGTAGAACATGCGCGGTTAGACGGCCCTCTGCGACCAGCATGGGATGAAGTAACCATCATCGACAGAGAGCAACACTGGGAACTCAGGGAGATCAAGGAGGCACGGCACATAACATTGGCTTACAATCACTTGGTAAGCCAAATACCGACATCAGTGCAATAAGGCACCCAATTCTGCGGAAAAAACTTCAAATATCCTGTAGATAAGTAATATCATGTTCCAACACCGAATGATCGTCTATCTCGGTTTACTTAGTCAGTAGACCACTGTGCTCGTAATCAAGAAGAGCCTGGTTCGAATTCCAGTAATTCGAGGGAGATAATTCGGATTTTGACGCATACATGGCTGAAAGTCACACATCGTCCACTCCTTATCAGGAATCCAAAACACCTGATGACATCTGGAGAATTAACTGGCCAAAACGTTGTGTACGTGATAGCATACCACACTAGGGCGGTGGTGCGAATAATGAATGGCCACGAGCACACCATTCATCATGACATACATAACAATTGCATTCCTGCATTCATCTCTAGATGATATATGGAGCCCAGATTCTTGCTTCTTCCGGGTTGTGCGACATTGATGGCTGCAAAAGGTCGTCGAGCTTCAAGAAGCTTGGCTTTAACAGCTTGTAATGCAGCTCCAAAAACAGATCGTGGAAAGGAAGTTAATATGACCTTTGCATGACAGACGGGACATGGAGACACATGCAACTCATTTGTGCCTTTTGATGGCCATGACATAGCAGGCGAAGGGCAAGAAAACGCGTACCAGTAGAGAAATTTTAAGTGAGAAAAATCGAATAATGCAAAAGGAAATTCCACGAACAACTACCACATGGAGAATTATCAGTTAAATAATTTTCCTTTGGTGAAGCGCGTGGATTATGTACATGACCGGCAAAACAAAGTAAATTGTGTTATCCTGAATCCAATGCTGGAAGTTTTCTGCAAAATTGTGTACTCTGCTTGTGCTTTAAAATGAGAAAATTGTGCTTTAAAAAGCGAGTTCATTTATCCAAAGATGAACATTGAATGCACGCCACCTATTGGCCCCTCCAGTCGTGACGTGATTTGTCAGTAAGGGACAGCTACTGCGCCTCGGCTTGCGCATCCCGCGCATCTCGCAGGATTGGTTTGGCACGCGCCTATTGGCCCCTCCAGTCGTGACGTGATTTGTCAGTAAGGGACAGCTACTGCGCCTCGGCTTGCGCATCCCGCGCATCTCGCAGGATTGGTTTGGCACGCGCCTATTGGCCCCTCCAGTCGTGACGTGATTTGTCAGTAAGGGACAGCTACTGTGCCTCGGCTTGCGCATCCCGCGCATCTCGCAGGATTGGTTTGGCACGCGATGTGAGCCTTTGTGCCGCCAAGGACCTTGGAGGAGTTACTGTGGTTGACGGTAGCTTAGCCGCATCGGAGGTTGTCTATCCCGGCGTAAGAACGATGGTCAACTGTGTTAACTGTGCTTTTCCTTTCGAAATGCTTGAACGCTTTGGAGACAGTTTCGTTGCGCTACTGGTTTTGAATTGCTTTCGATGTTTCATCTTGATTTTTCATGTCATCCGTACGGAGAACCCATATGTGTTCTCTTATTGGTCTTTTCTCGCCTCGAAAGGAAGGTCTCGTTCACTACGACTACTCTACCCGCTCTGCTTACTTTCGAATTAGCGGAGGTTAATTGATCCATTAACTGTTTTCAAAGTTGGCATACGCGCTACTCCCCTAATGAAAGCTAACGAGATAGTTTGGCTAGTTAGCAGTTAGAGCATTACCGTAACCGTGCCCACCTTTTCACATACACCACTGCCTATATGGTATACATTATAGATATGACCGCACATCCATGACAAAATATGTAAAGAATAAGAGGAAATGATAACCACACAAGTGTCATATACGCCCCGAAGCGGCCATGTCTGCGGTATGTTTATTGTTTATGCACGAGTGTTTCACTAATGGCACGCGAATGCAAAATGGCGCTCAGAGCGCTCAGTATCGCTGCTCATGGGCTCGTTTGCATTTCAGTGCGTTAATAAGGCACGAAAAAATCATCAGTTGCGGCAATACAAATGCGATTGTCTCTTACAGTGTTGGATTTCAACCGGCCTTAACAAAAGGGCACTGGCGTTTCTCCGTGCCGCTCACGCAGAGTAGGCTTTCCCTACGCTTGGTGGGCGCCCGATCACGTTCAGATCCTCTGCCAGCGCTGATGGGCTCTGCCAGTACCGCGCACTCACTAAGGGCGGCTCCCGCACAACATGTAAAACGGAAAAAGTCAAACAACAAAAATGGGAAAGGGATAAAAGCTGAATTACGCTTTTTGGCTGTTGCGTTTACGTTTTACGTTTTGCATCTCTGGCCTCTCAGCATTTTATAGCACTCACTTGACTTATCTGTTTACCGCGGAAAACGTGAACTGTATTAAGAGTGTAGTTTTTAAGCAAGATAGGGCATGCCGATTATTATACCATTGTTGCTGAGCTGTAGATAGCGCACTGTGGGTTGATGTCCATTCATGTGCATTTGTGACGCAAGCATTGTAACAAAAAAGTTCGTTGTCAACATTCCAGAACACACACATTATCAAATGTATTGTTACATTACAGAACAACATGACGAAGCACAAACGCAAATCAAAGGTATTGTCTTCATAGTGTGAGGCAGGGAATGCGACGAGATTTCTTCCGCAGGAGCGGATGCGAAATTTGGGCATGCTGAGAAGGATGTCGAGAAAACCGGCATCTCAAATCAAACAGACGCGTCTGATCAACAATTAGTGCAAAGAACAAAAAAGATTGAATTCTCCCCTTAAGTAAGAATTATTAAATGACTTTCCAGGTCTCCAAAAATGAAAACTCTGAACTACGTATCATAAAAGCCCGCCAAAACCGCCCACGTTGCCAACAGTATCCTCCATAAGCACTGGAGCCTGTTCGCTACGCTTTGCGCGTCTGTGGGCTTAACAGCGATGCCTCTAAGCCCCTAATCATCGTCAGTTTTGACACTTATTGCGCAGAGGAACCTATTCGAGCCGTCTATTGACGCCATCCGTCGCAACTTCTCCGATCTTTCTATCTCGCTCGCCATGCGGCATGTTGCTATGAAACGTATCGAAAGTTTACACGACTAACTTTGCTGTTCTCATAGCCGTCGAGGCGCGACGAACGCATCGATAAGTGACAATAACGCTCTGAAGATCAGGAAAGTGCGTGGTTTTTTCGTGATCTGCGGTCGGGAATCAAGTTTGTCTTTACCCAGCGGATTTTGTCGGATCCAGCGGACAGGCCCCATGCGTTAATCCGAGCGGTCGGGTCATACTATTCGTCTTGAAAACATGGCATGGTGGTGCTAGCCGCACTGAGCCGTCCTGAGGCATTCTCGCTGCCCCTCTGGCTAATGTCTTGCTATAAGGTATATCCATGCTTTCGTATGGATAAGTGTAAATGCTCGCGGCCGCACGATTCGTTCAGGTATGCAATCACCGAAGTACCATCTCGTTCAGGTATGCAATCACCGAAGTACCATCTCGTTCAGGTATGCAATCACCGAAGTACCATCTCGTTCAGGTATGCAATCACCGAAGTACCATCTCGTTCAGGTATGCAATCACCGAAGAACCATCTCGTTCAGGTATGCAATCACCGAAGTACCATCTCGTTCAGAGACTTGTTAACGTGCGTCTAAAATGTTGATCGTATGCATCTATATGTGCTAATGCTGGAATGCTTATCCCATTACCCAGGAGAGATTGGAGGTGGATACCAGTACAGAGTGCTCTAGCGAGGAGCCTCTTGCTGGGCAGCAAGAGGCGGCCGCTACCGGGAATCGTTCGATGGATTCCCTCCGAAATCCAGTGACAGGGAGCTTTGATAAGGTAAGAATTGTATGCTGAAGCTGTGTTGATGTATTTTTTTTCGATGGGGCCGTGCAATCGGGCAAGGGGTGGAGCAAACTTCTATCCCCTCTGCGCGTTTCATGTAGCCTATGAAAGATAGTAGATGGTGACGACAATGTTAGTAAGTGAGCTTGTTCAATTTATGGCACAACCATCGACGCCTACAGTGTTACCTGCCAGATGACATGATGATGCGATTACTTAAGTCGCGCTAGGTACGCATGTGCGTATGTAGTCAAGCACTGTATGCATGTGTCTATAATTTGTGTGTATGTGTCTCTTGCATGTAATTTGTATGGATCCGCCTCTGTCCGTTGACTTTCCGTTTTATGCTCTGACGATGTGCCGGAATAGTCATATGTGAAATGTGTTTGTGTAGGCACAAATTTTGGAACGTTTCACTTTCCACATCACCCATCCAGGATCGGTGGTGCCCCCCGGCGGTGCGTGGGGCAGGGAGCAAACCGGCCGCGGCCAAGAACTTCCCCAGCCCCGCCGAACCCAACATAAACATTGGGTGGAGCAGGGTCTGATGGGTGAATGCGGGCAAAGAAGCTCCTCAATTTAACTGGTGGACTTTCACACTCCCGTCCATTCACATCTTTTTTAGAACGCCTGGCTGGCGCATTTGCATATGAAAAATTGATGGTTTTAATCCCATCTCTCCTCACTAAACTGTATGCTTGGAGTGAGCATGATTGGGCGCCGAATGCATGGAATCTGAGTGGATTAATTAAAGACGAGGAGAGGGGAGCTCCCAGCGTTGATATTCAGCGGGCCCTTGCCAATGTCATTTGCCGGCTGCGTGGGATCCCTGCCAATTTTGGCGTACCATGGGATTCAGGACGATAAACTTTTTGCAATGTATCTGGTTCTGCTTTTGCGCCGTTTAAATATTATCACCAACCAAACGTTGGAGGTAAGATTCCGTGATTTAGTTCAGGCAGTCGTATACGGGGAAATAGCCGTTCAACTCTCGCACCATGTATTGCATAAACTTTTCGGCCCATCGGTGTGCTCAAGACGTTATGTCAGACCCATGCTGGGAGAAAGCAAGCGCATGAAAAATTTTAGTTTCATGGTGGCGAGCAAGGAAGTGCGGGTGTCGATAGGCACGACATAATGTCTCCTCAACCCTGCCTCTCTCACTCCTTGTTGAGTTACGCGAGGGAGGTCGAGACACAATCGGGACTAAGTCGAGCAATCCAGAGGTGACGTCACCATAGGGATGCCCAGGGCATTTACTTCTTGAGGAGCATCAAAGTACGGTTTTTTTAAACGCCCGAAACCGATAAAAATCACTCTGCAGTCGCCTCACTCACTCCATCGCCCCCCCCCCCCCCCCCCTATCGCATGCTCCGGGCCTGTGGACCTGCTCAACACAAAACCTTAACCAATCGATGCGTCTTGGTCGATAGCTTGTTCTTTTAAAAATGATAACCCTCGGTCCGGTCACAAAAAGGTCACAAAACTGCCCCAATAACAGTTTGCAGATAACATCATGCTCCGAGTCCATGGGTCAGGTCGGCGAAAACCTTTCCCAATCGATGCACCATGGTTGGTAGCTTATCATTTCTAGAACATGCTGACCCTGGGTCAGGTGAAGCTATCATAGAACTATTTTTTGTGTTTTTTTGGGGATGACATTTCACGGTTTTTTGGATTTAAGTTTTATGGCATTTGACTAAGACCATCGCTTTTTCGAAGGATGACCTATCGATCAGGGCGCATCAGTTATTACAGGTTTCATGCCGATCTGTCCCATGCGCTCTAAGCCTGGGTTGTCTGCAGCCAAGTTTGGTTTGGGGCGTTTTTGGCGGTTTTTGACCCGACCCGATGTCACAATTTTACTGTAACGTTAGAATATCGATCATGCCGCATCGAGTAGTGAATATTTTGTGCTAGTCGTTCCGGTAGGCTCGGATCATAGGGTTGTCCGCTGCCAATTGTGGTGGTTTCAGCGTTCTTGTGACCTTCCATCTGACCTAAGGTCGTGATGGTCTAAACAAGTATAGCAAATCGTCTATGGCGCGTCGGCTGGTGAAGTTTTTGTAAAGATCATTCCCAGCGGCTTGTGGCATGGGTTCTTTGCAAACGGATTTCGCCGATTTGTGGCTTTTTGGTGACCCTTGACCTAAACCAACACCACGCTTTTCTGGACAGAATTTATTGTTAACCATGGCCCATCAAAGCACGAGGTTTTGTGCCAATCGGTCCCATAGACTCGGAGCATGGGGTTGTTTGCACCCAATTTTGATAGTTTCTGGCGGTTTTGGTGACCTTTGACCTGACCTATGAACATCATTTTCTAGATGGGATTAGGCATCGGCCATAATGTATCGATGGGGTAGGTTTTGTACCAACGTGTCGAATAAACTGAGGATGTGAGGTTGTCTGCGAGTTGATTCGTGTTGGTTTTTGGTGCTTTTGGTGACCTTTGACCTGACCCGCAGTGATTGTTGTCGGTTTAGGGCCTTGTTGGTGACCTCTGATGTGACTAATGTCACCATGTTCTAGTAACGATAGGTTATTGACCATGCCGCGCGTCGATTTGCGAAGGCTTCGTTTCGATCGGCCCCATAGACTCAGGCATGTAGTGGAGTGGGTCCTGCTTCAATTAAGGCGTAATAACCAGCTTGTGGTAATAACTGCCGGGGACGTCCGATGGAGCTGTCAAGCTTGCTATGTCTCGTGTTTCGTGGCGGAATTTGTAGGTTGAAGTTTGTGTTCTCCCCGACAACAAATTATTCCCGAGTAATAACCAATTCCATAATTTTACCGATGGGAGACACTTAGCCAGATCGATCACGCATGCAGGAAGCCGTAAGGCGATTCAGACTTCCGTGCTGAGGCAAGTTAACGGGCAGGGAGGAAATGTTGACCACTTTAAAGAATTTAGGCGCTGACTGCGAACGCTGCCCTCTCTGGCGTAGCGGCAGTTGGTGTGCTTCAGGGCATCCGGTCATCGTGAACGCGTAGACAGTTTAAAAGGCTATTGATCGGATAGAGTTGAACGCCGAATGGAACAACGAGCGCCCTGGAGCCCGAAGGACACAATGTTCGGCGAAAGTCTGCTCAAGATCGTGATCCTTTACAAAAGGTTTTAGTCAGGACATTGAAGCGGGTGGCATGCACACCGAGATGGCGCGGGCGCTCGGGGGCTCAAGGCAGCCTAGGGTGGATCGTCCCTGCTGTTTTGTATGCAACGACACGACATACGCAAGTGACGAGTGATGATCAGCAGTGGTCGAAATAAAAAGATAGTTCAGTGCGCAGAGAGTGGTAAAGGGAACGTTTCACATCGGAAGATATTGAAGCAAACATCTGAGATGATGGAACAAGCTCACTTTTAACTGTAGATATGCCTTAAAGTAGAAAAGACTGCTCTGGACAGCACATTTTCTCTGTTAAGTGAATATGCTCCTCGATATGTCATTGCTTGATTACGTCATAGTACACTGCACAATATTGATTGGGGGCCAAATGACAGCTTTTTTTAAATCGTGCTTACGAACGCCAAATATAAACGACTCAACCATTATGTTTTTATCGGCATTGATCGCCGTGTGACATATAGAATGGCACACTTTGAGTGATGGTATTATGACGACATATATGCCAAGGCGACCTTAAAATACTCTCACCCCAAAATTTTCTCACTTTCGCTGGCGTGTAGCTCAGAAACTGGAGGGGTTTTGATCCTTAAAAGGGCAGGGTTGTGAATTGCGTCGAAGGGTCTTCAAGATGGCTATTTCATTTGAAACCCCGATGAAAATGTTGAGCATTTTCTTTAAGGGCAGCGATTTTCAAATTGCAGCTGGTTTCCAGTATATTAAGCGCATGCGTCACGCTTGTCTCGTCCGCCTGTCCGCTTTGCTCTTCGATGGGTGCGTGAGATGAGGACGGCACATGCGCGGGTTTGTACTATATCCGACTATGACCTTCGGGTGTTGGACCCTGTCGTGCTGCCTGTCTCGCGGGGGACGCACTAAACCGGGCCTCACGCTGCCGCCGGCCGCAGCTGAAATGGATCGTAAATAGATCTATGAAATAGATCACGCGCTGTGGCCGATCGGGCCACAGCACGTGATCCTTTCCGGAGTCGTCGTCACCGCACGGCACCGGGTCCCATGTGGGTATCCAAACATCGATCATCCCCCAGCTGGACCAAAGTTTACGGGCTCGCACAGCTGAGTGAGACTTAGCGCTAGTTGAGGGCCCAGGGCAAGCCTGATTAATGGCCTTCACCGCCAACATTTCACGCCATGAAAGCACACGATTAGATTATAGATGGTCGGATACTGATAGATTGCTGAGAACCTATGAATATTTGAACAGAGATACGGGCAATGGCAGCAAAGGTTCATATTCTGCTTGACAGGACATGATATTCGAGCCTTTATGTGACCACTTATTTACAGACTTATATGCCCACCACGAATGCTGGATTAGCGATGCTGTTTGGCCGGACATGAAGAAAGATATAGGCGCTCTCATGAAGGATTTTAAATTTTTAGCCCTAAGTGATCTGGAGGTGAGAAATCTTTAGAACAAGAAAACCCTGTGTAGAGCAATAAAAGCTTGGTGGGACAGCATGTATCTCGAAACAGCAGTTTCTACACATCCGCTTCACACTCTGGCCGTGCGCCCGGCACCGTACAATCGCGGCGGTAATTTGTTATGGCGGCGCCTGCAAGCTGGCGTCGGCAGCGGCGCCCAGCCGGCTCCAGCGCGTCCGATTCATCAGAGCCGGTGGCGGCGTGCCGGCCCGTCTGTGGGCAGCGCCGGGGCCAACGAGCCGCCCGCCCCGGCGCCGATCGACATCAGCCTGGGTCGAGACCGGCGCCGGCTCGGACCGGGACCGGCGCCGGCTCGGACCGGGACCGACGCCGGCTCGGACCGGGACCGGCGCCGGCTCGGAGCGGGACCGGTGCAGGCTGGGGTCGGGACCGACGCCGGCTCGGACCGGGACCGGCGCC